AACGAAACAGTATGGGGAAATGACCAATACGCGCCCACTCTCGGAATGAGTTAGAGGTTTTAACCTCTTGGGATTCAAAAGACCCCAATTGTTGTTAATAGACAGTCGATTTCTTAGTCGTTCTAGACTAATATTTACATTGGAAAAAATATAAGAATGCATGTAACACAAAGGATATTTTCCAACAATTTATACAGGCGAAATTGTGTAACACAGTATACGACCTAATGCTTTCCAACTACGACACAAGTCGACATAATCGTACACAGCTAAAATACTATGTTCGATTGTATCGCCGTATTGTGTCATTCTATCGATACCAACAATTTTACATCTGGTACTATTTACTTTTCTAGTATTCCAATAGAAAGTATAATTTACATTTAAAACAATATTATACAAAATATATTTATTCAATTTTATTACTTTGTCATAACAACTTAATTTATATAATTTAATCAGTTTTTTTATTATTAAAGGAGAACTCCTCCCCCTAAAGTGTAAAGACCCGAAAACAAGGCAATTTTCGAGGCGTTTTTTTTATCGCAAAAACATGTTTATAGTTTAAAAACCTTATTATCATATAAAAGCGCATTCTTTCCGCTACATTTTGGTATATTTATTATTAATAAAATGTTAATTGATAAAGGCACAGTAGCCGACGAAGTTAGTGGCCGCAAAATTTTTCCATCGAACGGGTGCTCTTCTAGCAGGCCAAAGGAAGGATTTTTTTTAAACGTCTACACTGACTTTTTCCCTTAATTCTCTATATATCTGATAAATAAATTAATTTATAAACAATTTTTATTAGAAAATACAAACTTTTACAGCGAATGTATCTTTTGACGATTTTATCTGTTATTACAAATCGATACCATATTCACCGTGCATGTACACCGGTAAAACTAGTAACAAGTTATGTAAATTGCCCTGCATATTCTGGCGATGAAATAAAAAAGCTAAGTAGTGTTCCAGTTACAAGTCGACACTAACATTTTCACACAGTGTATGACTGTGTTCCGTTGCTAGAAAGCACTCAAAATTTACTCCATTTTGTCATATACCGAACCTCCATGATGACCTTTGGTGAGAACGTAGAACGGATTGAGGTGAGCAAGAAAGTTCGTACCGTTTTGCGATATTCGCAATAGTTTTTGAAAAATTAATTATTTTGTCTTAACAAATCAGCGTACAGAAAGCGGCAGCGGAAAGAAAGATGCCTTCGGCCGACGTGCGACCGTGACACTCGCGAATCGCATCTCGCCGCGTCCCTCCATAGCTACGAGACATAGCGAGGCGTGATACACTAACACATGTGCATGACATATCCGTGTGCCGAATCGACGCCGAATCGAAGCGTGTCGCCGCTTTGGCTGCATACATGTATGTAGAGGTGACACAGCGAGCGGCGTGTAACACAAAATCGTGTGCCCAAAGATAATTATCTTTCGTTTCCTCGACGTCGTGGTAGAAAAGTGACAGCGCGCGATTACATTTAGAAGATTATTTTATAAGACAGCTCACATTAAAACTGTAACGTGTTCCTGTGATTAAAGAAAAATAGAAAGAAAGAAAGCGATAGAAAGTGAAAGGATTTGCAGAGAATCTAATTGTTCTCTATCGTAATTATTTCTCTATTGTATCCTTTGCATGTGTCGAATCCGCAAGAAATGAAATCGTTTTCTATCGTGCTCTGTTAGAAGAGTATTAAATCGTTACTATGATAGAATTCTTAGTGACTTGTTGTGTCCTATCGTTTTGTTGAAATTTATCATGAAAAAATCACTGGAAATCTGTCATAATTTGTGGTGTATTAACGATGGGAGAAACTCAAAGTTCTTCATCGTATAAAGGAAACCTCGATTGTGTACGAACGATATTTGACTTTTACATATAATTACGACAGAAGGCGTGCATCATAATCTATCGTCAAATGATTACGCCAAGCATGGATGTTTTTCTATCGTCTTCTTACAAAAAGCGTAACACGCTTTGGCTAAGTACATTCGTCAACAAAATTATCATATAGGTAAATTTATGTCAAAATTTAGCACATTTTTAAATTTTCAAGAGCCTGTCCTTTTTTTAAGGAGCATTAGTCAGATTTTGGATTTATTCTCTTCTGACGGTAACAGAATAAAAATGCATAGATAACTTTCATATGTCGTACAATATTGCGGAAGAAAGTCGTGTACTTTTCCTTTTTATTTTTTTATTTGTAAGGAAACTTCGATATTTTACGATGGTTATCGTAAGATTTGTGAAAACAATTCATTCCATTCAGTAGAGTGTGTTAAATTAAGCGGTTTAAAAAAAAATGCATAAGTAACGTTGATATGTCGCAACTCCGCGATAAAAAATCGAAAACAAATCCGTTTCCTTTTACATTTCAGGAGAAAGTCTATACTTTACGATAGTTATCATGAAATTTACGAAAAGTCTATTCCACCGCGTAGGATACATCAAATTGTGCAATTCTTTTGAAGACGTAACACGTCTTTATTCCTGAAAAGACTACAGGAAGAGAAGAGAATAAATTCAAAATACGACAAATGCTTTTTAAAGTATAGATTTCATTCTTTAAAAGAAAAGAAAAAAGATTTAAAATACGATAATGTTTCGCGATATTTAGATTTAATACTCTCCTAACAGAGCACGATAGAAAACGATTTTATTTCTTGTGGATTCGACACAGGCAAAGGATACGACAGAGAAACAATTACGATAGAAAACAGTTAGATTCTCTGCAAATCTTTTTACTTTCTATCGCTTTCTTTCTTTCTATTTTTCTTTAATCACAGGAACACGTTACGGTTTTAATGTGAGCTGTCTTATAAAATAATCTTCTAAATGTAATCGCGCGCTATCACTTTTCTACCACGACATCGAGGAAACAAAAGATAATTATCTTTGGGCACAGATTTTGTGTTACACGCCGCTCGCTGTGTTACCTCTACATACATGTATGCAGCCGAAGCGGCGACACGCTTCGATTCGGCGTCAATTCGGCACACGGATATGTCATGCACATGTATCAGTATATCACGCCTCGTTATGTCTCGTAGCTATGGGAGGAGGGACGCGGCGAGATGCGATTCGCGAGTCGCCGTCGCACGTCGGCCGAAAGCATCTTTCTTTCCGCTGCCGCTTTCTGTACGCTGATTTGTTGAGACAAAATAATTAATTTCTCAAAAACTATTGCGAATATCGCAAAACGGTACGGACTTTCTTGCTCACCTCAATCCGTTCTACGTTCTCACCAAAGGTCATCATGGAGGTTCCGGATACTCTGTATAGGAATGTTTTATTATAATACCCAATTACTACAATCCCTGTAATTACTACGAGTATAATCTTATACATCAGCATGACATTATTTAAATTAATATGAAAAACTTTCCATAAAAAATAAATTTTTCATACAATTTGTAAGAAAACCGAAAAAAACGTGGTTTTTCCTTTTTTTACTTCTAATTTTTAGAAATACTATTTAATGAATTGATATTATAATGCTCGAAAATAGGAAAAGGAGGCGGAAGGAAATCGAAGTCAATCACTTTCTATTAGTAGACTATTAGTATGACAAGAAATTATTTTTTCCGCGTTACACAAAAATACTGGCGAAGTTCCCACGAGTGTGTTATCAGATAAACCACCCTTTCAATTTTTTTAATTATGTTTTTCTTTATATAAATTCTTTATATAAATTCTTTATATAAATTCTTTATATAAATTCTTTATATAAATTCTTTATATAAATTCTTTATATAAATTCTTTATATAAATTCTTTATATAAATTCTTTATATAAATTCTTTATATAAATTCTTTATATAAATTCTTTATATAAATTCTTTATATAAATTCTTTATATAAATTCTTTATATAAATTCTTTATATAAATTCTTTATATAAATTCTTTATATAAATTCTTTATATAAATTCTTTATATAAATTCTTTATATAAATTCTTTATATAAATTCTTTATATAAATTCTTTATATAAATTCTTTATATAAATTCTTTATATAAATTCTTTATATAAATTCTTTATATAAATTCTTTATATAAATTCTTTATATAAATTCTTTATATAAATTCTTTATATAAATTCTTTATATAAATTCTTTATATAAATTCTTTATATAAATTCTTTATATAAATTCTTTATATAAATTCTTTATATAAATTCTTTATATAAATTCTTTATATAAATTCTTTATATAAATTCTTTATATAAATTCTTTATATAAATTCTTTATATAAATTCTTTATATAAATTCTTTATATAAATTCTTTATATAAAGAATTGTTTTTCTTTATATAAATTGATTTATCAAGTCATTCTGCGTATAAAAGTACAATATAAAATATCTTATGATGGAAAATATTTGGATAAAATGTTTCAACTATTTTTGAGAATAGTTATCAATGATCTTACTTCAATATATTTCAGAATAACTTGAGGATTCAATTTATATTTAAAGAAAAACATCATTTAAAAAAATATGTAAACATGGAAGGGTAGTTTACGTAAGTTACTGTAAGTGCATTTACGGAAATTTTTTCGGTCCTTGAAACGAAAAGGTAATATTTCCAGGCATAAATGTATTAACAAAAAAATGATCAGAGACTTCGCCTACCTATTCTTGAACGCTGCAACTTCAATTCATTAATACATTTAACACTGTATAACTTACATTATATAATATAATATGCGCGCATGCGCATATTATGTTTATCATACGTGCGCGTATTACGTGCGTATATTACAAGTAATTATAATACGCGCACGTATAAGTAATCTTAAACTGTCACAAAATTTACATGCATACTCTATCTATTAAATCTATGAAACGTTTTAGTAAGCATGCATTTTCTCAAATAGTTTATGTAGAATTTACATATCAATTTTGTGACATTATTTTACAAATGTCCTACATATTCATTTAAAATATGTAAACATATGTAATTGCATGTTAATAATACAAATTTTTTTAGGGTTTTACGTATGTTGCACCAAGTGTATTAGAAGACATTAATTCGCAACCACGAGTTATAAAAGCTAGAAGTCCTCGTAAAGCGACTATGCGAGGTTTTTCGCCTCGAACCACGCACTTCCACTTTCATAATGCTCATTTACAAAGTCACAGGTTAGAATTTTAAAAATTATTAATTATTTATATGTTTTGATTTATCTAAAATTATTTACATAAAAAAATTTGATTTGCAATTTATAATGTTAATGAAAACTGATAATAGCTAAAGCGCAGATGCGTGATAATATATACTCATATAAAACAAATATTTTGATTCCTGATTCCTGATCTTCAATGTGTCAACATTTTATATTAAAGTGCAAGAAAAGGATATGCAATCATTTTGAACAATGTTATAAACAATGCAGTATAAAACAGAAGCAATTAGCTATATGAAAGACTAATAGAAGTACGAACCTATTCTTATTTTTTTTTCGTTAGAAAAATCTTAATCCCGTTTAAAAATATTCCTTGAAAGTGCGCTATTCGCCATAAACGTCAGCATTTATATTAGAGCGCAAAACAAATATTTATCCATTTTTTGCACTTAGTTGCAAAATATTGACATATTGAAATCTATACCAAGTATTAAAATTTATCTCATACTATATATATACAAGGTTTATTTCATATTATATACAGGGTGTTATACATACTATACAGGGTGTCCCGCGTAAGACGGACCAAAAGAAAAATATAAGTAGAACACATAAAAGTGAACAAAAATTGTATAGGTCATTTTTCAAACAACCACGTAAAATTTCGAGATATTAATTAAAATAGTTGGACAAATTAGAACGCGCGATGCGACAGGCGGGACATACGGCTCGCAGCGGTCGGCG